TCTTGGCTGTTTGATTTCAAGGTTGTTCGCCACTCAGAGAGTATGATCAAATGTTTGCGAAACATCTCGCAATCACAGGTTTGCCATCGAAAGCAAGGAGTCCTGTCAAAAAGGCTAAAGCAAAAAACAGTATTCGCTCCTGCTTGGCCTTTCTGTGCAGTAGCCAGGCTGACGATCAGAGCAGAGAACCACGCTTCCTCAGGAAAAGGGGAAGAGGAATTCGCTACTGGCTCCAACTCAATAGCCAACCGTTTGTTTGATACATGGGAAATGTCAACTCTGGGCCTTGCTGTGGATAGACTTGGTGGGAAGGCATAGGCTTTATGTTCGACAGCTTGTGGCAGGTCACATCCAGTCCATTATCCAGGGTGCGCATGGAGGCCCCGGTGGAAGAAGCTAGGACCACGGCTGAGCAATGCTGCTGATAACCAATGCACATGAATTATTGCCCAGATGTGGGCGCAGGGTAGTTGCATCAAGGCTATTGGTCAGAGAAGCAAGGTACTTCCAGACATGCTGGGATGCGAACTGTTGAGAATTTACGAATGGATGTCGAGGATTTTCGTTTGGGATGCTTGGCCTAAATCATTTAGAGTTAGCGTTTGGTTGATTGTGCAGGGGCCATGATGTGGCTGCTTGGAATGGCAGCTTGCCATGTCAGAGCCACTTGCTGGTGTTTGTGCGCTCTCTCGAGTGAGTTTTGTTGGTGCCAGACCTGAAGATTGCATCAAGTTTTTGTGGGAAACCATGGAGATGGCGACAATGCCTCCAAAATTTCCCGAACTATCATCCTTTGTGTCTCGCAGGTTCTCCAGGTCATCCCATGGTGACAGGTGCTGCTCCAGCATCAGGTCGGACCAGCTTCCGTAGTCCTGCGGTCATGGTTATTGGCAGTGTACCTACACGAGTTCTTGTGATGCAACCCATCCGGAGGTTTCCAACTGGATGGGTCTTTGAGATCACCGTCCGACGCGTCTGACTCTCCAGTCATGAGCCCAGCGCATGGACAAAGCGCAAAACTTTCAGGGGAGACCTGATCCTAATCAGGCTTTCTCAAATGCCGGCAAGTGCAGAGGTCGAGAAGAGGACATGGATCAACAAAAGCGACACAGCAATGCTTTACGGTGGCTTTTAGGGCTACAGAACTGGTGTCTAGTTCTGAAGGAGTGGGCTGTTTGCGATGACCTGCCCAGACCACCTCTCAGTTCTGCAGCACAATCTACCAGAGCACCAAAGACAGTTTCGTCATGCATGCGCCGAGCCTGAGGCTGTCAGACCTGCACTCCGCAGGCAGCATCAGCCGGATAAGGAAGAAGAAAAAATGCTCATCTGCAGCAGCTGCAGGATTGCATATTTGGAGCATGGATGGACTGGTTTCCGCTTGGCACCTACAGTAGCAGAGGGCGTGGCGTCGTCCGACTACCCTGGTGGCTTAGGCTTGGCGGATGCACGGGTCTCTGTCAGAGGAAGCGCGGCTTGGAAAAAGATAGCCATGTCAGAACCGGCTAACGCTCCCGAGGCCAGGAATAGCGCACACAGCTGTTGCCATTTCATATGCAAGGTATGAAGGCCCAGACAAACAATGAGCAGCGAACTAAGCCACTCAAGTTGCGAGACGCAGAGAGGATGATGGTAGCTGCCTGGAGTGTTATAGCTGCGGGCTGCTTTCGAGTGTATAGTATCAACATTCGGAAGGTGTGGGCAGCCCTGCAGCGGCTCACTGCTACAGACAGTGAGCAGGACCCATGCTGCATCTCAGTCAGTAGAACCCAGCTTTCCACAGCACGTCCGGCGAACCTGAGAAAGCCTACATGCCTAATTCATTCCGGATGGCCTGCCCTTGCAGGAGAGACTGCTATCCAAATTATGCCGAGTGCGTGCTGGAGAGCCGTGACTGCCGGTTTACAGCGCCGGGCTGTGACGTTGCATTCAGCTGTTGAGTGCAACTGTATTTAGTCTAGATCCAACATGGAGATGTAGACGCTGCAAACCCGAGTCATGGAGCTCTTGGTCCAGTTCGTGCTTCAGTGTACATGGAGCTTCGTCGGGCACCTCTTCACATGGGTGTGGGAAGTTGCATGAATGCTTCCAGCCCAGGCTGCGCCTTAATCAGAGGTGGCGAACTCGACATGCACGGATCTTGGTCTGAGACTGTTGATTGTGCCACGGCGCTCCTGCTTCTAGGTGCCAGTCTGGCATGTCCAGTCATTGAAATGCCCAGGTGTTACACCAGGCGCTACAGAATGGCAGGCCATGTCGCTGCCTAAGCTGATCGCACCTTTCCATGCAGTTTTTTCAGGCACAAGGACATGTGCAGTACATGGAGAGTCTGTGCCTTTTTATCCACATGTCGATCTAGGTGACGGGCCTTACAACCAGACTGAGCCATGTGTGGCCGGGGCCCATCGCCCGCATGGCATGCCTTTCTTTCTTGTGGAGGAAAGAATGGAAGCCTAAGCTTGCACGAAAGCTTTGTCAAGGCGGAAAGTTTCGAGGCCAAAGACTGCCTTCTCACCACCTGGCAATCTTGGACCCCAAGCCTTATTAATCATGGACTTTTCAGTGCTAGCGCATGGACTGCCAAGAACGACTGTTTGTCACCCCATCTTTCCCGCTGCAGGACGGAATGCAGCCGGAGCTGTGATGGGGGCTGGCAGGCCCCCTGCCGCTAGCGTACTTGCAATTTCTGTCTTCGCATTTTGTTTGCGTGGAGGCACGCTTGCGGCGCGTGCGGCAGTTTGCTGCAAACGGCGGCGCGACTTGTGACATGGAGACGCTCCGTTCCTACCTCAGCAACTGCCCCTTGAGGCCCTTCAGCTCAATTTGGAGGTAGCTTGATACCAGGTGAGCAGCAGCAGTGCAACATCGAGCCTTGCGGCAGCTAGTGGCCAAGTGAAGCGGGATCACCTGATAAAATGTTCCACCAACATCAGCCTTCAAGGTAAAAGTTGCATCTTGAGCGAATGGGGTGCGGGGCGCTTGGATATGGATGGTGGGATGTCACACAAATCTAGCTGTTTTTTCGAGAAGAGGCCTAGATGTCTCACTCAACTTTCATTGTCTGGTCGGGAGAAGTTGGCTCCGCCCTGTCCCGTTCGCTGAAGGCCTGGCAAGGTTGCGACATCCTGAGTCCAGCGCAGGACATACATGCGCATATACGTTGGCTGGTAAAAGGAAAAGTTGCGGCATTTTCATCCTGAAGGGTCTGGTAAGCAGACAGACTTAGATCCAGTCAGACGAGTAACATGTGTCTGACGTTCCTGCGCATGCAGTCGAGGAATACCGAAGCCACAGACTCGGAGATGGAACCTGTTTCGAGAATGAAGGATTCCACACATGGACAGCAGCTCAGGCCGTGCCCTTCTCCAGCCAGCATCGCGGTCTGTACCCTGTGCGGTGCCCAGCACTTCGGGAACATCGAAATTTTCTTGAGAAGGGCTTCTGCGTTTTGCAAGTCAGATAGGTCAGATAGCGTATTTGTGGTCTGAACCGTCCCCTCCTTGGAGGCAATCAAGTCTTGCGGGAAACTCGCGGCTGTCCCATGGACAATCAGGTCCTCCAAGCTTGTTTGATGGTGCTGTCTCCAAAAAAGGATGTTTGGGACATTGACAGGAGCCGCAACCGTGCATTCTTGCGGCTTGGTGCAGCTCCTAGGTTGTTGTGGGCAAGAAGCAAAACCAGAGCAGCCGAGTTGTTCTTGAAAAGTGCCTCTCTGGCAAGTGCAGGTCTGAGTGGTCCGAGTGCAGCGCTACATGTGCTGGTCAGTCACAGAGGCACGTCATTTCATACTGAGTGGCCTCTTTATGTTCCTTCTAAGCCTCTAGCTTCTGTTGAAGCTGGGTGGAAGTGCAGAGGTTCATGCTCAGAAACGAAGCAGGGTAAATTTAATGCTTGTTTGCTCCACCTTGTCCAATAATTTTCCACATCCGGCAACAGGCTAAATCTTGAGCCCGTTCGAAGCATGCCTGCCAGGACAAGACAGCTGCCCTTTGATCAGACCAGCTGCTATATGGCAATCCAAGAAGGCCGGCAATTGTCAGTGCCACGATGTCCTGATGTTTGGAGAGATGGTCAGCTTAAAAAGGTCAGACGGTTCACGAGGTGCGAGCATGTGGGGTATGGCGCTTGACTATAGCATCAACGCAGCTGTCTTGTCTTGACTTTGCCTGAATGATTGCTCGCTTCTCATACTGGGCTTCTGAGGTCCAAAAGTGTGAGCAGGAAACCTGCCCTCTTTCCTCTTGGACGACTTGGCAAGTGCCTCAGATGGTTGCGGTCGCATCTGCGGCGCGGACACGCTTTTTCGACAACTGCACGGATCTACACTGTCTTTTAGGTCTGAATGTAGCCAAGAATGTGGCCGGGGCCTTTGCCACAGGTTGGCACCGATGAAGTAGATGCTGTGCTGAATCTGCCGTGGAGTACAACCCATTCCGCATCACCGTCTTGAGAGTTTGAGGTTATGGGATACACTCTAGGAGTCGCGAGGCGGGTCTGCCGTCATCTGGGCGGCAGAGTGTGCATTACTTCACTGCGATTGGAAGGTCCTTTCCACAACGCGGCATTCGGTCTGCAGCGAGCAGCTTGAGGAGGTGGCTCGCGCGAGCAATACGAAATGTCGCGATTGCTGCATGATCTCCAGTGGTCCAGGTGAGGCCGTGCCACCTGAAAGATTGTGTGGCAGTGGACTGTGTTAGCCGGACCTGTTTGCAAATGGACCTGCCGTTCAGTGTGGCTAAGCCTTCTAGGTGCAAAGGTATTTGCACCTCCGGTATACTCTCCTAAGATCCCACTAGCCTTTGGCATGTTGGAGACAGCGCTTTTGAAGTGGACACTCTGGTTGCGACGTGCTGCGATGAGTGACCTGCATGTCAGGTTTGGGCCGATTGGGATCACTGGAGTGCCGGGGACTTGTGACATGTTGGTACGCATGAACCGATGCAGTTACATACCTATTTTGGCCGTGGCAGACTTGTGCTGGAAGGGAGGTGTTGCTTAATATGACTTCCGAGGCCTGCAGCTGTACTTGCGGGGGTGGCACAAAGCGGCGGAATAGGGTCATCCAGCAATCGTGGCGGGCTCAATTTAAAGCTTTCGCTGATTGCAGTCGCTTGCAGCTTGGCTTGAGGCCTCGCCACGGGGGCAAGCTTTGTCAGCCAGAGGTCCGAAATGGGTTTCGCTAAATGTGACACGGCTTTTGCTCGAGGCAATGTCCTCGCTTTTCATGTCAGATATAACTAGAAGCATGTAGCTCCCTTGTTAGCATGTTTGGCGATCCTTTTTGCTTCTCTACGATACCTTTTGCTGTCGCCATTCGATGAACCATGATCAGTAGACGTCGCCTCACCATGATCAACAGGCTTCCCCCCACCATAATCAATAGAGTTCGCGCTCCTTCCACGATTGCCGGACACGTCAGTTATCCCAGGTAGTCTAAAAGCATGCCAACAAGCCAGGACCTGATACAAGTTTGTGGGTTTCTCTCAGAGGTTGTCCAGGCTGGTGAAGTTATTTTGGTGTCAATTGGGCCAGGCATCCAGTTGTTGTTTGTTTTTTTGCTGCAAGGTGGCCCTAATATCATATAGGACTCCATATCCCCGCAGCCCCCACACATATACCCCCCTCCAAATCCTTGCAGAGGCGACGGCTGCTGATCAGCGCCATGCATGGAAAACTCGATTTTTCAGTCTGCACCATAATGACTCTTGACTGTTTTGGAAATTCACAGGCTTTACCCTTCCAGCGCCCTTCCTTTTCTGGCATCAGCAGAGACTTGGGAGGTTTCCTAAACATTTGCAGAGGCTGAAGAGTAGCTCCGGGAAACCTCCCAATTGGGAGGGTTTGGGAGCCCTCTAGGAGGCCTTGGAGGCCGCTGCAAGGCCTTTTTTTCACTCGAGTCCTTCCAGAAGCCTGTGCTGAGACGGTGGCAAGGGCCTGAAACAACTTCCCAAAGGTCTGGGAGGGGTCTGGAAGGTATCTGGGAAGCCTCTGAAGGCTTCTGGGAGGTTTCTGGAGAGGTTCTGGGAGGCCGAAAGGTTTGGCAAAACTGTGACCGCAATAAAGCTCGGCAACCTATCTATCACTTGCTGCGGTGAGCACAGGAAGACACCTCAGTCACTCAGGGACCTGGGCACAGCTGCAAATAGTGTTTAGTCAGGGCTGATACTTGTAGTTTCTGATAGCGGCTGTACTCCCCACAACTCCCTAGAGCTTTCTATGATAATAGAGTCCATTCGTATCCTAGTTTATGCCGCTCCAGCCAGAGGTCTTGGCTAGTAGGCATTTAGTGCTTCCCCAGAGAGAGGAATGTCCTTCAACGGCCATGGGTCATGGTCAGAATCGTGAAACGCTTATTTACAAGCCCCATTCCAGCACTCAGGAAACAACTAATCACATCTCACACGCATCATCAGCTGCTTTTCAAAGTGAATGTTGTGAACAATTTGACGGGCTGTGTTCACTCCAGGGTTGTTGCAAAACAAAACCTGCAGATTCAAAGATTGTTATGCTGTGCGATCTTGCCACCTTTCACGCAGAATGCGATGGGCGTTACGCTCAAGCAGTGCATGATGCAAAGGAGCGCTTTCATGAGCACAAAATCGACATGGACGGGGGGCATCCCCTCGATGACGTGCGGACCGCCTGTCACCGAAACAATGATGACCGCATCTAGCCAGACCCCAATACCGGGCAAAGACAGAGAGCACATGCCTGCCGTCAACGATTGCAGGGAGGTTGGGCACTAGTTGCCATTGAGCAAACGAACTGAGCGACTCAGTTGCGAGCAGGGCTGCATGATAGGCGGCGTGGGAGTAACGACACACAACCTCTTTTACATGCCCAAGCCAACTGTGTACAACTGATATGGGCGTGCACGGTCCTATGCCCCAAGATGACGGTGGAGCAACACCAATGTTAAGCAAAGTGGCTCCCATATGGCTAATGGAAGAGTGCGAGTTTGTGCTTGCGATGTGCGCAATGCGTGCTGCAACCAACCTTTGGGGTGAGCATAGCAAGCGTGCCCACAAGCCCGCAACACGCAGTAGGCACAAAAACTGGATGTTCAACCAGCCTAGCTGACCCTGCACAACGGCCGTAGGTGCTCCTCGGGGCCACATGAGCAGGCGTCGCCCCCATTGAACAAAACGGGCGCTCAAACGCTGGAGTTCAGGGTCATCCATCACAAATTCCAAGCCAAAAGATGCTGATGGGCGAACGTAAAAATGAAAGATGCGCCCACTAAGACATACAGGGAGATCTTCTGATGCGGTCCATGTTAGGCAGGTTGCAACACGAGCCTCACCACGAGCTAGCAAGTGATTTACATGGTGTTTCCAGCACAGATTCTCCTGAAAAACGATCCGCAAGCATGCATATGTTTGCACATACGGGATGTGCTGGTTGCCCAAGTGGACGGTTGTCTCTCATGCGAGCGGGCGCAAAACACATCACTGCGGATTTTTGAGGGCCAAGCGCAAAATTGAAACGCCATGACCGCGCCCAAGCAGCTGCTGCGTCCAGGGCACGCTGCAAAGCTGTTGGGTCTTTGCTCAAAATCACCACGTCATCTGCGTACATCAAGATTTGGACTTGCGTGGAGCCTGCACGTCCTGTGCGCGCAATGCCATTGCAGACACGCTTAATTTCAGCAGCCGAACCATTCACTACAACATTGAACGGAAACCTGCTTAGAACCGCACCCTGGCCAAAGCCATTTTCAACATCCCAGCTATCAGACATGACTAAGGAAACCCGTACTGCAGCCGTGCGATGCGAGACGAAATCATCAATCAGATGCCACAGGCCGCCTTTTACCCCGGCGAAGCTGTCTCCGGAAATGATCACAGCCGCTGGAATCATGCAACCAAGCCTTTATCATCCAAGCTTGGGACCGCCACAGCCTCCACACTTCGATCCCGCACGCAATAACTGGACAGACAAAGCACCCGCATCCATGAAGGCAATAAGTGCAAACTGTGCCTTCGAAGTGCGGCATGTGTCCTGTAGCAAGGCGCATGCCACGTAAGCTCCGCAGTCCAAAATAATGTCAGCCGGCAGAGCTGGCCCCTAGCATCCAGATCACAATTTCCGGGGATGGCTGAAACCTCTTGTGATTGTTTTCGATCTGGAACCGGCGATTCCATGATAATATCTCTATTTCAGTTTCCCTTTCATGCATCTGCAGGACAAAGGCGAGATTGCACCCTGTGCAACGCAAACCTGCGACATTTGCGTGGATGGAAGGTGCAGTGTGTCAGTTGCTGCTATGTCGTTGCAAGCATTGCCAGTTTGTGAGTTGCAAATTTGAAGAGGACATTCGGACCATGAACGGCACCGATATTACTTACTAGAGGCAGATTACCCGCGGCTCAAAAATCATGTGTCTTTTTGTCCTGAGTTCTGACATGGATAGAGGCGATAGGAGAGACCCAGAAGAACTGTCAGAAGTTGTGCCATGACAGCCAAAAGTTCTCACATCTCGGTAGCCGGCAGCCCGGCGTGGGGCTCGCAAAGCTTCTGCAAAGGCAGCTCCTTTCTACGGTCCTAAAGAGTGTGCCCATGCTGCCCTCCTTTTGTTTTCTTCATCCATTTGGATGTCCTTGTCGGGCCTGGCGCTGGCTGCTGGGAGCAGCTTCTGTCCGCCGGTACCGGTTTCGGAGAGGCCTCCAATCTGACTTCTGATCTTGTTTTCTTGTCTCTCCATGGTGCTCAGGTGTTCGCAAAATTATGGCGTGAAGTGGGTCCGCACATACATTGTGCCACAAGAGCAGGCTGCAATTTGTGCTGCCAAACGCTTCTGCAACACCAAGTCTTTGTCAGAGTCGGCCGCGAGGACCTATACTACGATTTCATCAACAGTGGTGGCTTCCGCACTGCTGAGGCGCTGAGGGAGCAGGTGGCCAGAACAGCAAGGCATTGTGTGCCGCTTGGTGTTATCTGCATCTGCCTGCAGCAGCCGAGGTCATTGACACTGCCGTGGATGAGGCGCGCAGAGACACGAAGCGGAATGCAGCAACAACACTCTAAGGGTTCAGGCTGCACGTGATTTCGGATCAGCGAGAGCAACTGCTGGTAGAGTGCACCTCGCACCCTTGCCGCATAAGCAGGTTCTGGGCATTCTCCGCGAGCCTCTGGTGCAGGCCACCTGCAGAACCCAGCCGCACAGCCGCTGCTGCTGCTGATTCTCGTCTGATTCAAAAGGCAGCAACCTCCAGAGCGACCGCCGCACTGACGGCCTTACATGCGGCAACCCCAGTGTTGTCGCCAATGCCAACGGGACTTGTGCACAAGGGGAACCGCAGCATGCAGCAGCTCTGCGAAGGCGTTTCGCTATGGCCTCTGCGCGGTCGAGTTTCGGGCCCGGCCTGAAAGATTGCGCGGTAGCTTTCATGCGACTGCTGAGCTTGCTACATTGGGCAGGATTGCTACGAATCCGATGAGATCCCCGTAGACTATGCGCTGCCCCTTGGCTGGGATGTTGCATATCTCACCGAACAGATCAGAGCGTCCTGTCAAGCCATTGCAAGCCTGGTTCAGGACTTATTGCGCCGTTGCTAAAGCAGCGCTTGAAGGCTTGAATGTGGAGGAGAGAAGTGGTCATGAGTTACGGCCTTAGCCGTTCAAAAGCCAGGGCAATGCGCAGGCTTGCCTGGGGTCCCTGACACAAGGAAGCATTACAGGGATTGGTCGTTGGTCTGCAACCAGCCAGCATCAAATTGGACACCTGAAAGAGTCATTTTTGATCCAGAATTTGCAAGACCTGCTGTAGCATCAGGTCCCTCTGCACCACCCTGCTGGTGCCAGAGGCATCCGCAGCAAGACCTTAGATGGGCTTCCAGAATGTCCATCGCAGTCATCTATCCTTACACCGGCCTTGCAGGCGCTCGAGCGGATCGTAAACTCTGTGCTGGCTGCTGTGCGGCAACCACTGCCATCAGCCACTACTGCTTTGCCCCTCGATGCATGGTGTATACACCATGCGCAGAGGTTTGATCCTCAGCTGACGGAGGCCATTGGTGTTTCTTCCGCCGGAGCTCTCTCCATCCGGGCTCTGCGATCCGCGAACGTAGCTTTTCTGAGAATTTGTATTTTTCATGCTCGTAAGATGCTCGCAGTCACAGCTGTCAGCTGATGAGGCTGCCTATCGGCGCGCTGACCAACCCCGAATTCAAGGGCGAAGAGCTGGTTGATTACCGAGGCGAGTTTTGCTGAGAATTCCCACGCAGCATGTTCTGCCATGTGACTGCGAAAAGAGGTTTGCGCGTGCCGCAGCTGTCCGTGGAAGCCATCCTGAAGCGCATCAGGCCGGAGGCCTAGTAACCTGGTACTGGCCGAAGTCTTGCTGAGACAGTGGTACTGGACTCTGTCATGCAGCGTGGCACGGTCAATGAGCCTATGCGTCTTTGAGCCGCGAGAACAGTGCAAGGACCATTCAGATTGCATTCCGATATACTCCGATTTGATAGATAGTTGCAGCAAATTGCAGCGTTTTCCAGCTACGCGGCATTCTGCAAAAAGACGCGGGTGTAGCTGTTGTTCCATGAATTTGATTTTGACCTGGCCATTTGAAGCAGGATTTTCATGCGTATTCCCCGCGTTTGTGACGCTCAATGAGTTCAAGGGTCTTTTCATGTAGGCTTGACGCATTGGTCTATGGGTTTGATGAGCGAGTTTTCCTCCGTATTCAGGCTCGCCTCGTCAGCCCAGGGTTTGAGAAGTGCTTTCAAAGGCTCGCCCTATTGCAGCAGTCCAAGGTTGTCTTAAAAGAGGCCTTGAAACCTACTGTCTTGATCACACAATTCCTACGTTAAAGCGGCAGATCCTGACGGAAGCTTGCAACATGCATTGGACTATTCCTGTTTTCAAAAGGGAGGTGACGCTATTCTTGCTGTCTCTCACATCTCTCCTTCTCATTCTTCTTGCGCTTCGTATTCAGTTCCTCGGATGCCAGATCTCTGCGGCCGCCCAAGAGCTGCATGTCTTTAGCTTATGTTGCATGTGGTCGCGGACAGTTCTTCCCCGCTACGCCACAACTAGAAGGACGCATGTTCACGTTCGTTGCAAAGGCCTGGATGTCACGAATGCAAAAGCATTCTGAATGCATCTCAAATGTTTCCCTCCACTGCGCAGCGAGCCCCGCAAGCCCGAAGCAATGCACAGGTCTCACTTCTGCTCTTCTACTTGATCTCCTGGCGGATTACATCCTTTAGACCATGTCCTTCCCCAAACTGGTGTATGTCAAAATTCAACTCTAGGTTTAGAAGAGGGCGCCACACCGCCCCAACCCATGCACGGTGTTGAAAGGGTTCTCCGGGGAGAGGTGCAGCTGTGCAACACACTTGCATGCAGAGCTCTGATCAATACATCAGGGCTTATGCTGCGTTACGCTGCCGCCAAAAGCGTAACGCAGTGGATGGGCCATATTGACTACCCACCGAAGTTCCGACGTCAATGCAGATCTCCTCTCAGCAGGTATAACCAAGTAGTTGCCGTAGTGTTGCCAGACTGTTCTTGGCAAAAAAAAGTTGGTTTCGCACGAAATGTTGACAGGCTCAGCATTTTCTGCACCTGCGGGGGAACCGAAGAGCCGACGCAAGCCGTACGAACGTCTCTTACCCCAAGCCACCACAATAAAGTTGCGAAAAACCTCAAAAAACCTTTCTCGAAGGGGGCCGCTTCTGCAAATGTCAAAAATGCCACCCAACTACACTCAGCCCTTCGCGCGGACCCCATGGAAAAAGGATGACTGCTGTAACATTCCGGGTCAGTGGTAATACCGCCTTATAAGCAGCTGTTCCCAAGGGAGTTGTTTTTGGCGGGGCTCCGTCTCCCGATAACGTTCAGCACTGCCCAGCAATCTCAGAAGAGCTAGCCTGCTGTTCAGAGCTGTGTCTTTTCGAACGTGTTGTGCGCTACTTCTCGCAGGTGGAGAACGAACAAGGAGCTCTCGCGCTGGGTTGTAAATCTGGGCGCCTATGATGGCAAATGTGGCCGGGGTACGGCTTCCTGGCAGCAACCCAGCATATCCAGCACATCCTGCAACCGCAAATCCCATCCAGTGGCATGTTTTAGACAGCATTGCCTAGGAGTGCCATGACCCAGCAAACTGCTTGGTGGAAGAGCAGCACTTCCATGGCCTTCTGGTGGAGGGAAACGCCTCCGCAGCGGAGGCTATGCATGCGAGGCTGGATCCAATGACCTGATGCTTAGCTAATGCTCACGGCATGCGAAATGGTTTTGGGCACTTGAGTTTCTACCTAGCAGGCTTCACCATGAGCGCTTGCTGAACCACATTCGAAACTCGGTGGCCTTGTTGGTCTGAGCTGCCTCAATGAAGCAATGAATGGCGCCACCTTCTTTCATTTTGGCCTGGTGAGTTGAGGCATCCGCGCAGTGGCCATCACACCCCCCACAGTGGCAGACGTCGTGTTGGAAAACCTTCCGCTGGTGGATGTGCTTTTGACTTAAATGTATAGATGTCATGCCTTGCCTGCCAACACGGGCCTGAGGTTGACCTCCTGAAGGTTGATGTTGACAGTATGCCTCATGATGAGCTCATCCAGAGGCTGCTGGTTGCTGGACTGAGGCCCAAGGCAGGGCAGCAAGCCGAAGCTGTTTGCATGCTACCAGCTTCCTTCCACCAGCTCGCAGGTGGTGCACACCGAGATTGGCCCAATGTTTCCTCCTCCAGTTTCTTATTGGCGCAGGTATGCCTTTGGCCTAGCGCGTCCTTCCACTGCTTGCTTGCCTACGTCATTCAAAGGGGCTGGCATGGCTCACTTGAGGATGAGGATGACCCACTCGTCTACACACCGCGACCCGAGCTTGTTGGGCTGATTCCATCCCTAGCCAGGGTGGATTCGGTCCAGAGCTGAGACATTGATTTGAAAATGAGCACTCCTTCCACTTTGCTGAAACACTGGCAGTTATGCACAGGTGGTGGCACCATTCGGTTACGAGTTGCTGCAGGCATTCCTCAGCCCCATTGCACTAAAGTGGCAAGGCCACTTGAGACGAGAAGCCTGCCAACTGCCAGGTTGAACTCTATGATGCTGTTTGGGTGCGGTCGGAGTACATGTCCGCCTTTGGTCGCGTAGGCGACCGTATAGCTTGCGAGAACGGTAGATGCCCGTGCTGGACTCTGATTCGACAGTACAGTTCGTTTACGCAGGTGAATACAGCATGTACGACAAGTGGCTGGTTGGCTCATTCTGCAATCCTGGCTTTCCAAGATTCGGTGAAAGCTTCAGGTATGGTCCAACACTGAGACAACGGATTTGAGTCATTCCTGGCCCCACTGAAGCTCCAGAAGATGTCCTTAGGCCGCTACGACTTCCGCGCCTGGGCCGCTCCCGAGCTTCCTTGGGAGGTGTATGCAAGAGCTGCATGCTGACCGCATGATTGCGTTAGGAGTCTTGGCTTGTTTGGTCCAACCTGAGCCGCTGGCTGTGAGATCTTGCGGTCTCAGTGATTACCACTTGGCTTACAATTTGGGAGCAGGGGGGATGTTGACACGTAGCCGCTGACACATATGCTCAGTTTTTGATGTACGTTACAGTGAAGAGTCAACAGGCCTTACTGCACAACGTGCTGGGCATGCTTGTCCAGTTCAGTGGGTCGTGTGCGACAGAGCTGGTCTGTTTTACTGAACTGATGCTCACGCGTCTTGGAATGAGGGAGGCTCCGAACACTTGTGGACGTCTTGTCAGCCTGCTGACCTTTCTCGGCAGGTGCGTTTGGGCTGGATGCGGGAGCTGCTGCAGCGTGCGCAGAGTGATGGGCGCTGGCATCTGGAGCTGCTTGAAAAACAGCGCATGCTGCGACCTCCATGTGCCATGTCTCACTTGTCTTGCGTTGGTGGTCTCGGCAGGTGGAGCGAGTGGGGTTCATGGTCCTCTTGTTCGGCCACCTGCGCTTCATCATACAAGGCCACCCTTGCTGAATGACATTGACGGTAATGACAAGTTTCTTCCGCATTGTTAGGTTCGGTAAATGCCTCTTTCTTCCTCTGCCAGGCACGCCATCGCAGCGTGGATCGTCACCCCAACTTCTGTGGGAAGCCAGCCGTAGGATTGGAGGATCAGTATGAGGCCACGTCAGTTAGCGCGACATAATACGGACTGCATCAAGAGGGCAAAACAGTTGGGCAGGTTTGCAAAGGGCAGCCCAACTGCATTCCAGATCGCGTGGGGAGCCCCTGCGTGACCAACTCCTGCTCTGGCCACTTCCGCTCTGTCAGCAACCAAGGATTGCATTCTCTCTGCATGGATCCCTTGGACGGGATGCAGTCAAAGCTCCATGTCTTTTCCTGCACTGCTTGGAATACCGCCTTCGGAAATCATTCAAGACTTGCCATGCGCCTCCGAACAAGTCGGGTCTAATCTTGTCTCCCTCGTCCATGTTCGCGAGACACCCGCAGCCTCTGGCTACAGCAAAAACCATCACTGGCAGCCACCCTGTGCAGCGCACGTCATGTGAATGCTTTACATTCCCTAGTGGACCCTCTTGTGATTTTTTCGAAGTGGTTCTGCCTCCCGCTATGGAACCATGGTACCCGACGATGCTGCCCTGATTCATATCGATGTGGCCCTGCTCAGTGGTCGGACTGCGGCCGTGTCCATGCCTAAAGTCGGCACCGTTGCCGAGCTGCGTCAAAGAGCCCAGCAGATCTTGGGCCTCGGGCTCCGAGACCTTTTCACTGAGGGAGGCAAAGAGCTGGCAGGTCGGAGTTTGCTTTCTGAGGCAGGACTACAGGATGGGGACAAAGTCACAGCCTGTGTACGGGACGTGGAGATCAATTCGTGCTACCGATCCTTGATCACTGCAAGCGGTGCTTGGTCAATGAACCTGCCAAGACAAGGTGATGCGTTTGCAATGGTTCAAACTGACGGACGTGTTGTTACCCGGCGGGAGAAGTAAGGCCTCCTTCGGCTGTGTAGCGGTGTGCAGCCCTCCATCTCAAAACGCATCCAACTTACATGTCGTGAACGGCCAAGAGGCATCCCCAATTGAATTCTGATAGCCGATAGCATACTTCAGTCATTTTTGTTTACCTCAAAGTGTTTGGTGCTATTGGAAGCATTGAGTGCGCATTTTACGACAGGCTGCGTAGCACACTTCGAACTGCAGTCAATTTGCTTTGCATTCTGTATAGCAGCGCTGGTTGAGCCCGCAGCTCTCTTGCTAAGGTGACCTGGGGTGATGCAGCGTACGGGGGTGACTGTTCGGAAGTGAGTTGGCAGCTGGTGGACGTCCAGAAGATAAGGGCTTCGCAGCAAGCCTTTGCAGCGATCCGTGCAGATGGTGCGGTCGTCACGTGGGGTTGTTCAGACCGGGGTGGTGATAGCAGCAAAGTGCAAGAAGAGCTGATGGATGTTCGAGAAATTTCTGCTTCACAGCATGCTTTCGCGGCACTTCGAGGTGACCTCTGTGTGGTCACATGGGGTCCCGCGTACTGTGGTGGTGATAGCAGCAAGACGCGGCAAGAAATGCGCAATGTGTGGACAATAGTGGCTTCACAGCGAGCTTTTGCAGCTATCCGTACCGACGGAACGGTTGTCACTTGGGGAGACAAAGGTTGTGGAGGTGACAGCAGCACCGTGCAGCATGAGCTACGGGACGTACGATCCATTTGTGCTTCGCTGAGGGCCTTCGCTGCCATCCGGGCTGACCGGACGGTCGTTACCTGGGGCAATGCAGACTATGGTGATTATGGTGGAGACAGCACGTCAGTGAAAGAAAAGTTAGTCGGAGTCCAGAGCATTGTTGCGACCATAGACGCTTTTGCTGCAACCCGGGGCGACGGGCGAGTTGTGACGTGGGGAGATGGAAGCCACGGTGGTGATTGCAGTGCTGTGCAAGAGCAGTTATGGGATGTCAAGGAAGTCCGGGCCTCATTGGCAGCCTTTGCTGCCATTCGTGCTGATGGAAGAGTCGTTACCTGGGGACATGTTGACTTCGGTGGCGACTGCAGCAAGGTTCAGGATGGTCTGATAGACGTGCAGAAAGTTTACGCTTCTGCTCGTGCTTTCGCTGCAATTCGTCGTGGCGGCTCTGTGGTGACGTGGGGCGATGTGGATTGTGGTGGAGACTGCAGTGCCGTGCTAAGCCAACTGCAAGATGTGCAAGAGATCTTTGCTTCGCAGCAAGCATTTGCAGCAATCCGTGCAGATGGAACAGTTGTAACTTGGGGTCATGCAGATCGCGGCGGCAACAGCAGCAATGTTCAGGATCAACTCCGAGACGTTCGATCCATTTGTCCTTCACAGCATGCTTTCGCGGCAGTTCGTGGTGATGCCACGGTTGTGACATGGGGTCCCTCAGAACATGGTGGCGACTCTCATGCTGTCTTGAACGAAACCTGATAGGTGATAGGTGCCTCAAGTTGACGTGTGCGTTTCACAGAAACTGAACTCTTGAGATGCTGGGCGGCTGGGCGTGGACAAGTCAGGGAGTCCTTGGAGCGTGGCCACTTCGGCTTGGATCCTTGCAGCAGAGCAGTCTGCCAGTCTGCGGTATTCTAACCACGAAGGGCATGCTGGCCGCTGGCCCAGCCGCTGGCCCAGCCGCTGGCCCAGCCGCTGGCCCAGCGTCCGGCTTTCCTGGAAAGTCCACGAGCCTGAGGAAGCGCTCCTCAGTGCCTAGTGCGTGGCAAAGCGATCATCTCTTTTGCTTGTGCCACTTTCGAAGCAGTCTTCTTGGCTGCGTGCCGTGGTCACTGAAAGAATTTAGGCTTTAGGCTTGCAAGCATTCCGTGCAATTTCTCGGTGTATTGAAGCTTCAAAATCCCCAGCCCAAAAACAGACAGCCAGGTTGCAAATGCTTCGGGGTGCGAGAGCGTTGGCAACCAAGTGTGATTACAGCTTGAACCGTCCCACGCTGGCACTTGCAGCACAGCCCAAGGCCACCGTAGAGTCGAGCAGTATGCCTCTGGCAACGGCAGGGTGTCTCAGCCATTTGCGTGCAATACTGGCTGGTGACAATGTTGAGAGCTCGCTAAGGCCGCCCCTGCTCCGAGACCTCGCTGAAGGATGTGGAGCCCAGGACTTAGAAACGTGGCTGTGTCTGATTCGTTTTGACATGTCCTTTATGGCCAAACGCAGGCTGTGATAATGCATGATAATGCTTACATGCCCTGCCCCAGCTTGCCAGTCGCGCAAAGCACAAGTTCATACGCTTTCGCATACACCACAGCATGCCCAAAAAGTGTTCAAGTGTTCAAAACGAGTGGTGTGGCAACAAGTTGGAACATTGCCATGGGCAGCGGTGCGTCAAAGAACGCCAGGGCCAAGGGCTTTGAGGCACCCCCAAGCTATGCAGCGCTGCGACGCCGGCGTCGGGTCCTGCTGGGTGCAGAGCCCGGAATCGCTCGTGACTTTGAGCAGGTCGCACCCTGGGAGCAATTCCGGACGGACGTAAGCGATCCGGTTTTGGACCGGGCAAGAGACACGCAGGACCTGCGCAGAAGCCTTGAGGATGTGAAAGATGACATGGGCTACTTGCGCGAAAATGCCATGGAACGCTTGGAGCTCAATCTGCGGCTGCCTTCGAAGATCTCGCGTCGCCTCTACCACTTGGCACGCGTCCAGCAGAACTTGGGTGAACCACGAAAGCCTCAATTAACTTGCTTCGAAGTCTTATGCTTGTCTTCGGCCTTGCGGTGGAGTTCCGAGGCAGAGCTCCTGGAGCTCTTGTTCTGCTTTTTTGATGCCGACGGTGATGATAGGGTAGGCTTAGATGATTTGACGCGCACCATTGATGCTTTCCTTTCTTTGGAGGAGTCGAGTGCCGGTTTCTCTGATGTAGAGAAGAAGGAGTTCCGTAAGCTGGATGAACGCCGTAGGATGACAGAGGTCCGTCGACTCGCACAGCAGGCACTCAGTGGCTTCGCCCTTCCGGAGTCAGAAGACGAGGACGAGCTGGTCAAGGTTGAAGGGACAGAAGCCGTGACGAAAGGCGACACGGACACGAAAGGTGAGGTATCGGGCGATTCAGAGGGCAAAGTCCAGGGTGAGGCAAATGAGGCCGACAAGGAAAGCAAGGCGGGTGAGAAAGAAAGCAGTATCGAGCATCAAGCGAGCACTTCGAGCAAGCTCGCAGAGACGGGCAAGCTGGAGATGCCGCAGCCGAAGAAGAAGGCAGGGGGAAGCCTTTGTGGTCGCGCGCCCAAGCAGGAGCGGCCGACGGGGTTCGATTCAGAAAGTGCTGCTACCCAGACGAAGCCAAAGGACAAGGAAGAAGGTTCTGGAGAAAAGCCCAAGGAAGAGGTAAAGCCAAAGGCCAAGGCTAAACCAAAGCCGACAGCAAAGTCCGCGGGAGGGCTTTGTGGGGTCAAGAGGCCCCTCACCTTGTCTTTCAAACAATGGTCAAAATGGATTCTGACCACAGAAGTGCTCCCACCCAGGTTGACACTGGTTGCAAAGGAGGCGTCTAGCAATCCGAAGTCATCACGGGCAGAGTCAGGCCCGGAGCACGTGGCAAAGCCCATGGCATTGGCTGGAGAGGAACCTGCTCCATCCCTCGCGCTTGCAATGCCTGAGCCCAAATCACCAGCAAAGTCTGATGACACACCAGATGATGATGTGCCTTCCCGACCACTGCTGTCGGCCGTGTCCTGAGAGCCTGATCTGCTGACAGCGGTGTCCTGTGCCATACAGCTACATTAGCTGCTCAGCGATCCAGACGGCACTGCAGAAACTTGCGGTGCTTCATGTACCATACACCACCGTGTCTCACCGCGCACGCTCCTGCGATCTGGAAAAGGGTCTTTCCCAATGTTGCATGCTGACCGGGATAGCCACTCGGTTGCTCGGTGCAGCAGCGGGCCGTGAGTTGCCATTTCCACAGGCCCTGTGCTCCAGGCCCTGGCGAGGTGCGACAGTGATGCCTAGCCATTTGAAGCATCGAAAGCTCAGTCAGTTTGCCACATGGCCCTACCAGCTCACGTTCTGCAGCGTTGGCAGGCCGTTCCAGCTGACTGCCGACCTGACCCTGCCAGGAAATTACCCTTGCATGTGTGTTGTTTGAAGTGCACCAGTTGTGTGAATGCAGGGTTGCTTGACACAGCTTTGCACCAGGAAGTGCCAAATGGGCGATTGGGAGGTTCCCCGCAGAATCTAGTACAGGTTGCACTTTTTCTGGCTGAAGTCTCGCATTGATGATGCTGTGCTTAAGGATTGGCAGCTTTGCTCCCACAGCTGTGGCACGGGAGAGAAGAAGCGTGGTCCCCACTTGGCCCAGATGCAAGCAGGGATGCGCAGGGCGTTTAAAAGTCTGGGATGGCATTGGCTCCGACTGGGCAAGGCGTTCACGCTCAATTCTGATTCCGGCAGCTGTGGGAACCTCGGTCGTTTCCAAAGCTCCAGGGTTCTTGAGGCATCCT